CAAGATGTCATGACATTGTACTGTGACAATTTGAGTACTATTAACATATCCAAGAATCCTATACAGCACAGCAGGACTAAGCATATTGACATTAAACATCACTTCATCAGAGATCTTGTGGAGGATATGGAACATGTTGCCATTGAACTACAACTGGCTGACATTTTTACCAAGGCACTTGATGCTAGTCAGTTTGAGAATTTAAGGGGCAAGCTGGGTATTTGCCAATATGAAGAGATGTAGCAATTAATTTTGCTTAATACAAGGGTTGAAAGAGATATTTTAATCAAGTCTATTTTGATTGGGCTAATCATTTTTTCCCTCTTTCTTTTCAAAAGTTTAAGAAGAGGAATAGACATACTTATATCTCCCTCTTCTCATTTTGCTGCATCACTCTCCATTTCCTCAAAAGAAGATTTCACACACGCTGTCACTTGTTTTCTCAATCTCTCAAGACGTCTCAACAATATGTGTCATCATCTTCATCAAAGGCAACTGCATCTTCCTGACCCACTGACACCGAACCTAGGGCAATCGTAAACTGCATGGATGCTGATGTTCTTGAGGTAACTCCACTTCGTGAAATGGAAGCTGATCCTACTAAGGTCAAAAAGCTGCGAACCAGACATGCAAGGAGATCACAAGCTTCTCCCTCTGGTAAATCTTCTCAACCATCATCCTCTGTTCCTCCAGAGATAGCTAATAAGGAAGGTTCTGCTTATGTGCATCAAGCTATTGCCAGACTAGTCACTAGGATTCTTAATGAGAATCACTCTGTTCCTGGTATATCTATACCATTGAACCAAGAAACTGCTAGCCCTAATTTAGAAAGTGATCTTAATGTCACTCAGAATGTTGAGACACCTGATGACAACATTGAGAAATCTCCAGAGAAACCTGATGATCACCAGACCCCTACTGACAAGGCTGTTGAACCTCCTGTCATTGATGTTGATGAAGAATTTTCTGACAATGATTTAATTGCTAATATCAACCCTATCATAGCTAGAAGGATGATGAGTAGAAAAGAAAAGCAGAGTGTTGCCCAAAGCCCCTCCAAAGAGAAGGCTACTGAAGTTGTTCATGAGAAAGCTAGGCCTGAGAACAAGGCTAGAGAAGAAGCTGAGAAGGATCAAAAAGCTGGAACTGCGAAAGGGAAGGGTAAGGTAAAAGCTAGGGTATCTATTGGTAGTCTCTCAAAACCCTTGAGACAACCTATAGTCAAGAAAAGAAAGGCTCCTGAACCCTCTGAATCTGATGAGGAATCAGACTTTGTTTTTGATGTTGAGAGCAATGTTCCATACATTCCTCTCAGGAAGAAACCCTCTTCTAACAAACTGCCTAAGGTTCCTGAAGTTGCCATTGACAACATCTTCTTTCACCATCCAGAAAATGCAAGCAGGTGGAAGTATGTGTTTCTGAAAAGGATTGCCTTAGAGAGGGAGATGAACAGAAGTGCTATTGAGTGTAAGGAAATCATGGATCTCATCAAGGCTGCTGGCCTGATGAAAACAGTGGTCAAGTTTTCCAACTGCTATGAGATTATTGTCAAAGAATTCATAGTAAATTTGTCTGGTGGTTGTGCTGATGGAAAGTCAGCTGATTTTAAGAGTGTTTATGTGAGAGGAAGGAAGGTAAATTTCTCCCCTACTGTGATAAATAAATACCTAGGAAGGCCTGATGATGCTCAACCTTAGCTTGAAGTTACTGACAACCAGGTTTGTCAAACCATCACTACCAAGCAAGTCAAACACTAGCCCTTGAAAGGGAAGCTAACTGCAAGCAAGCTGAGTATGAAGTTTGCCATACTGCACAAAATTGGTGCAGCTAACTGGGTTCCCACCAACCACAAATCCACCATCTCCACTGGTTTGGGAAGATTTATCTATGCTGTTGGAACCAGAACAAACTTTGATTATGGCAACTACATATTTGATCAAACAATGAAACATGCTGAGAGATGTGCTATTAAAGGCCCCATTGCTTTTCCCTCTCTCTTGTGTGGTATAATCATTGATCAGTATCCTGATATCCTGGTTGAAAAGGACTCTGTGTGCAAAAGAGCCCCTGCACTTGGTTTTCACTATAAGCTGTTTCAGGGAACACATGTCCCTGACATTGTCATGACATCTGCTGAGACATCAAATGTCAAAGCTCATTCCAAGAAAGTTGATGTTATAGTTGTTCTAAAAGAAACCTGCAGAGAGCTTGATGCAAGAAAAAGGACTCTTGAAGAGCTGATTGCTAGTCTGGAACAGGAGGAGAATGAAGAACAAATGAGGGAAGAGGATGCTGATGAAGAACAACATGATGCTGCTGAAAATTGTGCTTCCTCAGGGGATGACAGTACCTGAAGGTCTGTGTTTGCTGAATAGATTGATGCTGGAACTTGTTGCTACTAAATGATACCTTCTCTCTGTTTCTGTGTTTTTTGGATGACTGTATAACTTAAAGTACTAGTACCTTTGGCCTCTTTATGGCTAAAAAGGGGGAGAAGAAATTGTGGTAATTTTTGGTAGAATTAGATATTGGTAGTTAGATTAGCTGTTATTTAAAAAAAAAATTCTGCTGCATTCTAATCTCTGATTGTTTAGGGGTTTTAGCCAAAAATTTGCCAAAGGGGGAGTTTGTAAGTGTTTGTTTGTTGGCATTATTTTTTGGTAAAACCAGACTTGCGAATGTCATGACTGATGTCATAACATTCTGGGATAAAGGTAGATTCTACAGAAGGAATGTTCTACAGGAACTACTCAATATGAGTGAATATCATGATGATTAAGCTATGATCATAAGTACTAAATTCTACCAAAATCAGTGAGCAAGATACATGATGTCATAACCAATGTTAAGACATCCTGTACTGATCAAGTTATTGTGCAGATTTATTATTCCTGAGAATTTTCAGGAATCTGGTGTGCTACTCTGAGTTGAAGAATATTGTCAAGATCAGATGCTCACGTGGACATTAGGTTAACCTTGCTTAACCCTAATCTGTTATGATGAAAGCCCAAGACCAAGTCTTTAGGTTAACTTTAGTTAACCCTAGCTATTTTTATGGAAGTCTTAAATGAAGAATAGTCTGCTTATATATTTCTCACGAAGCCTAATGGTGTGCAGCGCTTTTGATAGAAGATCAATAAGGCATTGTATAGTTGTAACTACTGTGAGCCAAGCAATTATCAGTTTGATAAGTGACTTGGATTAGGATTTGTTTGTAAGGGTTGTTTATCACTCAAAGCTTTGAAGCACGAGTGTTGTGTCTCTTGATTAAAGCTTTGAAGCAAAATCAAGCGTTTGTATTGAAGAATGTCTTCATAATCTTATTAATCAGTAGATTAGTATCACTGCTGTGATTGAGGGGGAGTGAGTAGGAACTCAGATTTAAGTAGGACTTAGATTGAAGTTGCATTGGGTAGGTCTTAAGTGAAGGAGATAAACTGGTTGGTTTATTCCTAAATTAATACCTCTTATAGTGAATTTCCTCCCTGACTTGATAGCCCCCAGAGTAGGTGTTGTTACACACTGAACTGAGTTAACAATTGATTGTGTTCTTTACTGTATTTTAAATTACTGTTTGAAGTGTGTACAAGTTTGTCAGATACGGTGTCATAACATTCACTGTGACATTAAGTATATATTGTCAGAATTTCAATATATTTATTAAATACTTATAAAATTGATATTTTTATCAAATATAAACAACTTCAATTATTGTAATTTTTATTATTATTCTTTTTATAGTGCTTCTCTCATTAAATTATTGTTTTAATTCCAATACTACCTCATCATTAAATTATCTTATTTATTTACTATTCAAAAAATTCTTAAAATATAATTCTTTTGATCTTTATTATAAAAAAAAATTAATTTTAAATTAATTCAAAAATATTAATTATTGAATAAATTAAAAAAAATAAAGTTAAAGATTGGAAGAGTAGTACTAAATCCATACTCAAATATAATATTTATAAAAAATGTTAAGAAATTAAAATTTATTAATTACAAAAATTCTTTAAAACTGCATAGATGAACAATATTTTGCATAGTTTGCATAGTGAAAATTATAATAGAAAGAAAATATAAAACTAATGTAAAGAACACTTTTCAGAAGCATGAAAGTAATAATCTTTTTTTATAAGAAATACTTTATTTTTTTAAAATTTATTAAATAATTAAGTACATTAATTTTTTAATAAATCTAAAAAATAAAAATATCTTTTATAAAAAAACAAAAAATAATAAATAAATAAATATATATATATATATATATATATATATATATATATATATATATATATATATATATATATATATATATATATATATATATATATATATATATATATATATATATATATATATATATATATATATATATATATATATATATATATATATATATATATATATATATATATATATATATATATATATATATATATATATATATATATATATATATATATATATATATATATATATATATATATATATATATATATATATATATATATATATATATATATATATATATATATATATATATATATATATATATATATATATATATATATATATATATTATTTTAATTAACAGCTCAAGCGAAAACAAAAATATGAAATAGACACTAAAAGAAAATTAGAACATTGTCAATTTAATCGTATTTTTTTGATAATTATAAAAATTGATTTGTTCCTAACTCTCATCTAAATTCTAAATTCTAAATGTTGATACTTTACTGTCATATCTTCTATATATATATATTACTATATATATTTTATTTAAAAAATAAAAATGAAATTCAAAATGTATATTGTCAAAATATGGACTAAATTCATTTTTGTTTTTTTACGTTAATTGTTGGAGTATAGTTTAAGAAAGTAAAGTAAGGGTGTAATTGTAATTAAAAAAAAAATCTTTGGGCTATAAATGAAGTGCTGGTAAGACAGAGGAAAACAGAAAAAACTCAAGAAAGCATTAGTTAACACATAACAAATCCATGGGTGAGAAAAGCAAGATTTTGATCATCGGAGGAACAGGTTACATAGGAAAACACATAGTAGAAGCAAGTGCTAAAGCTGGACATCCTACTTTTGCACTGATCAGAGAATCCACTCTTTCAGATCCAGCGAAAGCTGATCTTCTCAATAATTTCAAATCATTAGGCGTCAATTTGGTCCCTGTAATATATTTCTCCTTTAACTGGTGTATTTTCATAAGCTGATTATTGATTATGAATTTGATTTGAGGTTAATTAGGTTTAAAATTGGAATTAATTGCAGGGGGATTTGTATGATCATGAGAAGTTGGTGAAAGCAGTTAAGGAGGTGGATGTGGTGATTTCCACGGTAGGTCACGTTCAGCTTGCGGATCAGGTCAAGATCATCGCTGCTATTAAGGAGGCCGGTAACATTAAGGTTGTCTCTCCTTTTCATTCTCCGTTTAATTTTGTTCTAAATTATAAGTCACTATGCAATATTAATGATATTTTCCCTGTCATTTATTTTTCTTTTTTCTTTCAATTCTCTTAATTTCTTTTGTCTTTGTAATTAATAAAGGACAATAGTATAAAATCATACCTAATTTCTCTTTTCCAAACAACAATAATTATTTTTTTACTATGTGAGTTTTAGTTCTAGACCAAAATATAGCACTCATTTAACTCAATTATCAAATATCAGTTGACCTGTCTCCCATCAGTGAAGTGGGTGATTAGAAATATGGAAGACAGCTAATGGTGGAATGGGGAGGGAGAGCCGCCAATATGGACTTTGATGATACATGGCCTAACAAACATTTTTTTAATAATAAAATAAATAATAATGAAATTTGAAAATGATGTAACTCATGATAATGATGATAAGTAAAAACTCAAAAATCAAACTCTGTTTTTGGACATAAAGTTAATATTAAACCCTTATTGTGAAGCATTCTTACATAGGAGTTGTATGTTGTTTGCAGAGATTTTTCCCTTCAGAATTTGGAAACGATGTCGACCGTGTCCATGCAGTAGAGCCAGCAAAGTCTGCATTTGAAACCAAAGTCCAAATTCGACGTGCTATTGAAGCGGAAGGAATACCCTATACATATGTCTCTAGCAACTACTTTGCTGGATATTTTCTCCCCACATTAGCTCAGGCAGGACAATTTGCTCCACCTCCACCAAAAGACAAAGTTTTCATCTATGGTGATGGAAATCCCAAAGGTAACAAACAAACAAACAAACACTACCTTAAAACTTAACCATGTTTACTCTTTTGTTCTATATAAATTCTGTGTTTGTTATTTGATTTGCATATTTTGTTGAATACGTGCAGCGGTGTTTAACAAGGAAGATGACATTGGAACGTTCACCATTAGAGCTGTGGATGATCCAAGGACATTGAACAAGATTCTATACATTAAACCCCCTAAGAACATTTACTCATTCAACGAGCTTGTCGCATTGTGGGAGAAGAAGATTGGGAAGACTCTTGAGAAAACTTATATTCCAGAAGATAAACTTCTCAAGGATATTGAAGAGGCACCTCTTCCAATCAATGTGATATTATCAATTAACCACTCTGTTTTTGTGAAGGGTGATCACACTAACTTTGTGATTGAGCCATCTTTTGGGGTTGAGGCTTTTGAGTTGTACCCAGATGTTAAGTACACTACTGTTGATGAATACCTTGATCAGTTTGTTTGAGAATTGCAAAAACTATGTATCTGAATAATGACATTTCTACGAGTTGTTTGTTGCTTTGGAGATTGGTGTTCAACTGTTCTGTATCTCCTGCTTCTTTGTTTGTTGCTTCTTGATGGCTGTGTAAACTGGTTAATGGTTAATTATTATCCCAAATATTAATAAAAAAAAGCTGTGTATTTTGTGAAAAAGTTACATTCTTTGTTTTGATTATATTCCGTTTTACTACTGCTACTTCAAGTTATGTTTGTGATGGCAGACCCATTCACATCAGAAGCCAGCCTAAGTAGACGAAGGACTTTGTTTTCAGATAGGGGATTTCTTAACCCACTTCGTACTTTTCTAGCGCACTATGTGAAAATATAAAAATGTTTTTGAAAATCGAAAATATATTTCCGGTACGCACAAAAACTTGGATTTTGGTGAATGAGACCCTACGTATCAGTTATAAACTAATCGAAAATACAACTACAGGTGGACCCGTAATTGTATTTCTGGAAGTACCCCAAAAGCATACAATTTTTATGACTGAGAAACTCAAGCTAACACGCAGATACGAACCAAAAATGCATTTACGTTTGGTACCGTAGTTGTATTTCCGATTTGTGTAATAACTTAAACGTGTGCGGCCTCTTCCCCTTTTTTATTTTCAGAAACCATTTGAAACCAAAAGCACCAAACACCCAAAAATCAAACCCTCTCACACCCTCATTGTGTCAAAATCAATCCATTTTGCAAAAAGTTCATCAGGAATCTTCAAGTATCAGACAAAGTTTATTGTTCAAGTAGATTCAAGCAAAAAAATAATCACTTGTATGTTATTTTTGAGCTTTTTAGAGTTTATGTAATTTTAACTACAAATTTTGTTTTAGGGTCAAAAATTTAATTTTTTTAGTGTTTGCAATTTTATGAGTCATAAGAAATGTGTTAGGTATATTTTTTTAACAATCAATGACCGGTTTTTAGGTCATTGGGGCAGAGCTTCGCCATTGACGAAGTTGTAAAGTTATAGGTCGTACCGGATATGCATTTCTGATTTTCTTCAATCAAAATCTAGAAATGCATATACGGTTTTAGGTTGTCTGCATTTTTCATGCATTTTTCATTTTTTTGAACCTGAGTCTTATTGTTAACGTTTGGTTCGTTCTTCTATAGGAGTAATGACAGAGAGACAATCTAAATTGAGACACGGCAGGCTTGCACATCATGCTTATGTGCGGATGGAAAGGAGTCAGGCATCCCAGACTCCTTCTGCCTCTGGACAGGCTATGCCAGATGCGTCAACAACCTCCGGTGTTCCTGTTTCTACACCCACTTCATCGTCCTTCTGCAGTAGGCAAGGTTCTCCAGTTCATCCCTCCTCGCCTCCGTCCTCATGTAGACGCTCTTTATCACCATTAGTACTTAAGGCAGGAGAGACATTCAACTTCCAGTCGACATTGGAGGCCACACAGCCTGAGGCACCTACAGCTGAGGCATAGGCATCTGAGACACCTGCACCTGAGGCCCAGGAACCTGAGGCACCTGCACCCGAGGCCCAGGCAGCTGAGGTGGCACCTGCGGCGCCTCAGAGTTTTGGAGGAGGGCCTACTGATTTATCATTGTTGTCTCTGTACTCAGACCGCGTTACTAGACATATTTGAGACAAAGAGGTATGAATTTATATTTGCTCTAGTAATTATATTATTAATTTTTGTTTAATAAATTTTTTTAAACCATGTATGTAGAAACATGATCCGCTGAAAATCATGCATGAAATATCACTAAACTCGTAGCTCCCGCAGAGTCATGGTTTGATGAGCTCTTGGTGCTTTCAGGGTTTGAAATACTTGACCCTTTGTGGATATACTACCGTTAATCATGGTATGATTAACGCTTTTGTTGAGAGGTGACACCATGAGACGTCATCGTTCTATATACTATATGGTAAGATGTTGATCACATTGGACGATATCGCGTTTCTGCTGCATCTTTCGATAAGAGGGAGGTTTTTAGACCATGACAGGTGCGACAAAAAGGAGGCGTTGGAGTTATTGGTAGAGAGATTGAGATTTCCCCCTGAGAGTGCTATGGCTAAGATGGACGCCATCTGTGGTACTCGCGTCAGATTTAGTTATTTGAAGAGGGTGTCCACGGATGATATACGGCGTGCACGGTTGGCTCATGGTGATCCCGAGCAGGTTACCCATCACTGAGGGTGTGCTATGAGAGCATAACTTTTGTATCTAATTGGTACAACCATTTTTATGGAAACTAGTGCCACTTACACTAATATCATGTTCTTCGACTAATTTGATGATTTTGAGCAGATCCATGAGTGGAAATAGGGGGCTGCTTGTTTGGTGTACTTGTATCATAAACTAACTGAAGGCTGCAAGTGGAAGACGAAGCAGATGACCGACAACATCACACTTTTGATGGAAAAATTTATTGGTCTTATATTGTGATTTCGTTTTGTTAATTATTGATATTTGTTAGACGATGACAACGTATCTAGAGAGGGGGTGAATAGATACCCAATTAAAAAAACTAGAAAATTCTGGTTTTGAAAATTTATTTTGCAAAGAGTGTTAGCGAAAGCTTTTCAAAATAAGTCGTCTATACGAACCGTTATTGGAAATCAGATATGAAAATTAAACAAATTGAATATGGAATGAAATTGATAAATGGAATTAATCAACTTGGATCAATTAACAACTTATTTAACGTTATAGCAAGTTACTAGTAATGTTATTCCTAATAAAAACAATCAAAAGACTAAACTGAACAATTTGTTAAACACTTGACGTACACCAGATTTTTCAGAATTTTCCTTTGAGTTAAACAAACTACACAATTTGTCAAACACTTGGTGGGCAGTCAAAGTTTCAGAATTTTCCTTTGAGTTATGTTGATATGAAAAATCACTTATAATCAAAAGTGATTATAAGCATATCAACACAAAATTCAAAACAAAAACAGTATCGTAAAATTTCTACGCGTCGATAGATTACTCAATGCTATTTGACAAATTGATGTATGAGAAATAAAGCAAGCAAAGCAATAAGAGATAGGAGACACGAGGATTTGTCTTCACAGTTCCCCACTTTTGTCCTGCATGTGGGTAAGTCTACACCTAATTCCAATGGAATTTGGATAATTCTTATTATGCAAAAAGTTGATACAAGAGAAGTGTTCAAGAGAAACTCCACAAACCCTAATGCTTGTTGTTGATTCAACTCCTTATCTTATTTTGATCTTGAGAAATACCAAGACACACCATCTACCAATTGGTTATCTAGATCTTGCCACTCCTTTGCGTATTTTATCTCCAAAGCTTTCGCGCACCATCAATTATACTTATTGCAACACAAGACTTCAATTCGACTCGCCGTTATCGCACCACTTCCTTTGCGTTCTTTATCTCCAAAGGATCCTTTTTTGCGTTCTTTATCTCCAAAGGCCTTTACTAGGTCGCAATCCTCTCTTGAATGTCTTCCACGAAAACCCCCAAATCAATCAATGATCTTGGAGGACAAACCTGCAGTTTTTCCTAATGAAGATCCCTGCAAATCTTAACCCAATATTCTCGGCTACACAAGAATCTAATTTGATGTTATCAAACCTCGTCAAGATGACACCCCAATAAAAGATCGTTACAATGTAATGTTAGTTTGTATGCATAAGTTGGAGATTGAAGATGATGAGCAATTGCAGGATATGTTTATGGTATCATCAAGTTAGAATGATGCATGAAAGATGTATTTATAGTTATGGAAATATTGAGGCAAAAGAGGGAAATTTGGAATTAAAAGAAAATAGAAAATTTTAACCCATGAAACAGTATGAGCCGACCTGAAATGGCCTATAAGCCGGCCTGAACAAAATAGAAGAGAACTCCTTATTTAGGACAATACATGTGCCGACCTGAATGGCCTATGAGTCGGTCTGAACCAAACAAAAAAGAACTCCTTATTTATGACAGTACATGTGTTGGCCTGTAATGGCTTATGCGCCGGCTTGTACATGCATTTTTAGTGCAGAAAATGAATTTTTGAGTTTGGTTCAGTTTTGACTATGTTTCCAAGGATTCTTAAGACCTCTAAATGTGTAGGGTGCCACCCAAACTCAGTGATACCGTTCAATGTATAAAATTTTATATTATTATAGTTTTGACATCATGCAAAATACATCTTAAAGAAAGTTTCACTAACAATACTAACTAATAATCATTGTAATTTTAGGCCGAGATCCTAGAGCACTTCCCCCATATTTCGGGTTGGTCATTAGCCTCGGGTTATACTAAAGAAAGGTTGTGCGCCGCTGCATTCGACCTGCTCCGAGGGAACCAAGAGACAAAGCCATTTCGGGTGTATATTGACCGATTGGTATCTGATGATATACACTTCTAAACCTACGACGACCACCGTGTCACGATTCCATTTGACGATGTTACACCGTATTCTGGATGGTTGGCTTGCGGGTCGCACAAGACAGATGCTCATATGCCTGAGCACATCATGCGTTAGTTTGGGTATATATAGTATATTCTTAGGGTTCTTGTTGTGTATGCTCATCCCTTGGTGAAACAGACGGATATGGATGCCTAGTTTGATTATCATGAAAATCATCTTGTGCCAGCTAAGGTCTGAAGTACCTTAGAACCAGACGAATGGAGCTACATGGATGATCATATCTTATGGGTCTTCAGGGTGTCCCATCTATATCTGGTACAGGATGCTCCAGGAAACCCCCCGAGGCCAACTCATCATGAGATTCTAGAGGAGGAGCAGGCTAGGGCCAACATGCCACTGATGTGTTTCCTAGTGTTGTACCCTAAATCTTGACCTAATATCCCACATATTTTGCTTCATTTACATAGCATCATGAGTTCATACCAGTCATCTTTTAATCACTAACCTCTCAAAAGAACAAAAGTTTGCTTTGTTTGTTTCTTACACAAGATAAGTGCGTTGGATCAAGAAGTACAAGGGATTGATCAATCAGAAATTAGGGTTTTGAGG